CAAAAGAACTGTCCTCAAGTTCAGAAATTTTTCTGTTTGATTTAGTCTGCTGTTCAAGCTTTCAACTGTATTTTTTATTTCATTCATTGAATTCATTAGCTGTAAGATTTTTGTTTGGTTCTTTTTTTATGATATATCTTTGATAAATTTCTCATTCAGATCATGAATTATTTTCCTGACTTCACTGAATTGTTTGTGTCTTGTATCTTGTTGAGTTCTTTAAGATTGTTATTTGAAATTCCTTTATAGGCATTTCATAACTGTCCTTTCCTTTGGTGTCTGTTACTGGACAGTTATTGTATTCCTTTGGGAGTATCATGTTTCTTTGCTTTGTCATGTTTCTTGTGTCTGTATGTTGATATCTGTACAACTAATGGAATAGTTGCTTTTTGAAATTTTATGGAGTAGATTACATAACTTTTTCCTGTACTTTGGTGTCTGTTACTGGACAGTTATTGTATTCCTTTGGGAGTATCATGTTTCTTTGCTTTGCCATGTTTCTTGTGTCTGTATGTTGATATCTGTACAACTAATGGAATAGTTGCTTTTTGAAATTTTATGGAGTAGATTACATAACTTTTTCCTGTACGTAGGTACTAGGATGTCTGTTGGATGTGTTGCATTGGCTTTGGTTTTGAGTGGATTAAGCAGTGTAATCTCTGTGTAGTTTCTTTGGTTGTAATCCTCTTCAGCAATGTCTGCAAATGCCTCAGTGGCCTAGACTGTGGGAGACTGTACCAACACTGGCTCTGTTTTGCTGGGATGGAGACTCCAGCCTGGTTGTTTGGCCAGGCATGCACGGGCACAGAGAGCCAACCGGCTATTTGGTAGTCTCTCTGAGGCACAGAGTTGCTCCCAACCAGCTATCAGTATAGGTGTGGGCAGGTAGCTCTGAGGTTCTCTCTTCCAGGGGATGGTGTGCTGCCTGATCAGCTTTTGGGCTAAATACAGGTATGCCTGGGTGCAAGGTAGGGGGATCAAGTGGTTCTGCGAAGGCCTGCCAGAGGAGCAGATGCCACTGCCTGGCCAGGAGCTGGTATCCATAGTAGGGCCAGCTGGCTCTATAGAGGCCTGCTGGAGGAAGTGAAATCACTGCCCAATCCACTCTCAAGCAGGGAGCAGATGTGCACAGAAGCAGCAGGGGTTGGCAGCTCTGAGGAATGATGCCAGATGAGCTGTTGAGCCCAGAGCAGGCCTACAAGGGTGCAGCAAGGCCCAGCAGCCCTGTGATGGGCCACCAGCTGGATGCAGAGCAGCTGCCCAATCTGCTGTCAGGTAAAGGGTAGTTGTGCATCAGTGTAGCAGGGCCCAGAAGCTCTGTAGAGGGCCACTGGACCAGCTGTGGCCCTGAGGAAGCCTGCTAGAGTGCAGCTAGGTCCAGCAGCTTTGTAGAGGCCTGGCATGATGAGGCAAAGTCACTGCATGATCACTGTTGGTCAGTAAGCAGGTGCACACTAGTATAGCAGGGCCAAGTGGCTCTGTGGAGGGCCATGGGGAGAGGCAGAGCTACCAGCAGACTGGTTATCAAGCCAGTATGGGAACGTGTGGGCTCAGCAGGTTGTGCAGGATGGGTACATACGAATGTGGTGGACCACTGCTTATTGGCAGCTTCCCTGCTGAACAGATCTGTCTGTTCTCATTGCGGGGGGCAGTGCTGCATGAGTTCAGATGCTGGAGTCTCAGTCTTTCTGTCTGGCCTAGGATATAGGCAGCTGGGGCTGGGGTCCTGTGTGAACATTGCAGAATGAAAGTGGGGCCTCAGGATATAGGGAGTCAATTTTCACAGGACCCCAGGGCAGGATGCACTTTAGCAGAGAGTTTGGTTTCAAGACGGCTCTGTGCTGTCGCTGCTTAGGCCTGGAAGCTGGAGGTCGCTCTACCTGGGCCTCTACTATGAGGCAGTGCAGCTGGATCTGGGGCCTGTGAGGACTGAGGGACTCTCTTATGGCAGGGATTGCCAGCATTTGTGGCAGCAGTGGGGACAGCTGGGTTTTTTCTAGCTTATCTTCTCTCCACCTGACTCTGAGCCGGTCCCTGTGGAGAGACAGTGAGGCAGAGGCAGGATGCTTTGCTCTGCTCTTTATGGTGCTATCTTAGTCTTCTGTGCTCCAGAAGGATTTTGTACCTCCTCTGGTGCTCTGCAGTGTATTTCTGCAGTCATTCCAGTCAAAATATAGTTGTTCATTTGTTGTTTTGGTCACTTTTTGTGAGCGGGATGAGCACCAGACAACTCTAGTTGGCCATCTTGCTTTGCCCTCTCCAAGTAGTTTTAATTTGAACGTCTCTTGTCATGAGTTAAGTTGAACATCTTTTCATATGTTTCAGAGCCATTTGCATTCATTTTTCTACTGATATCTTCAGCCCATTTTTTCTACAGAGCTGCTGGTCTTCTCTCTTTTAAGAGCTCATTATATGTTAGGGATAATAAAAGTTGCAAATGTTTCAGAGCCATTTGCATTCATTTTTCTACTGATATCTTCAGCCCATTTTTTCTACAGAGTTGCTGGTCTTCTCTCTTTTAAGAGCTCATTATATGTTAGGGATAATAAAAGTTGCAAGTATTTTTTCCAGTTTGTCTTTTTTTACTTTGCTCAGTTCTCCCCTTCCCCAAAGTTTTCCTTTCAATTTATATAATCATATTTATCAATCCTTTCCATTATTCCTTTTGGGTTTTCAGTCATAGTCACGAAACATTTTTCCCTTTTCTAGATTATGAATCAATGTTTTCTTCTATTATTTTTACATAGATTCACTTTTCTGATTGATTTGGAATTTATCCTGGTGTATGGTGTGAAGGATGGAACAATTTTTGACTTGAGTCAGGCTCACTTTCCTGGCTTTACAGTCTGTGCATATGTATTTATTCACCCATTCAGTCTAGGAAAAGACAGGCATTATTCTAAGGCTAGGAACTTTATATTCCATTTCAGAATAATTTAAGATAGATATTATTTTGATTCCTATCTGCTATGTGGTAAGCCTAAAGAAATTTTCAAAAACAATAAAAATTTCTAGATGAGAAAAACAAAGCAGACTGTAAATGTCAGGTCTCTAGGACAATAAAGTCTCACTCTTTCATTTTAACCAATCAAGCAAGTAAGGTTTCATTATTCAATAAATGGCTTCTACTATTATCTATAATAAAGACACCGAGGAAAGGAACAGATGATAACGTCAATGGATAACCTATGGTTTACTTTTGGCTACTAGATCCAAATTTCTCCTTAAGCAAGCCTATTAATTTCAACTATATCACAAGAACAAAATCATGGTCTGTATTTCAACATTTTAAATATCCCTCTCTTTCAGGTAGTGGCATTAATGAGCTGGGAAATAATCATAAAGTAGGCAGGAAGAGAGATGGCAAAAGTCCTAGATGACATGTTGGCTCCTGAAAAACTACATTTTAGAGCTGAGGAAGTTATAGCTCTGAGTTTGTGACCTGAACAAAGTTAATAAGGGTTCAAGACTTTTGACCCTGAGTCAAATGCTCTATTCAGTATACCATTCTACTCGTCAGATTTGATAATAAAAATGTACAACTGGAAAATTTTTATCTTATTGCATATAAAACTCTCCATCAAAACAAAATTATATAAATATCACTTCCTCGTAGGTCTAAAAGGATAATTCTACTATAGGATCTACACTAAATATATCAAATATTTCATAAACATTTAATTAACTTATACCATTTCAGATGAAAAAACTGAAGCTAAGGTCAAATTCAGGTTAGAAAAGTACTGAGTATCTACTATGGATAAGATACTTGTGTTGGGGGCCGGCCCGGTGGCGCACTGGATAGTGCGCCGCTTGGGAAGCGCGGCAGCGCTCCCGCCCGAGGGTTCGGATCCCACATACAGACCGGTTCCCGCTCACTGGCTGAGCGAGGCGCGGGAGCAACACTGAGGGTTGCGATCCCGTTGCCGGTCCCGGTCCGGTACA